CAAGGCCAGATGGCACAGTGTTTCTTTCAAGACTCTAGAGTTACAGGGTCTAGATTCATATCCTGGATCTAACCACTTCCTATCTCAAAGGTCTTGTCCAAGTTACTAACTCTCTGAACTTCAGTTTCTCCATCTGTAAAATGAATGAACTATGGTACTCCTCTCACAGTTACTGAAGGGATTAAATCCTCTCAGTAAATGTTAGCTCTTGGGTGGTCCTGGCTTTTCTCTGTTCTATGGGCCGTGGAGAAGATGGATGACGGCCTGTGGAAGAGGAGGGAGAAGGAGGAGGTTCAATCAAGAGACATTTTCAAAGTGAGATGATAGTGACGTGAAGGAAAAGAGTCCAAAGGCCTGACTTTACTCCTTTACTCCGTGCTCATGGGAGATAGACTAACTAGGTGATCTCTAGCTGGTTAGCCCTAGCTATGAAACTGTAGAGTCAGGAGGGCAATGGAATTGCTATCCTAAGGCCAAATTTCCACCTTTGGTGCAAATTCAAACACAAAGGCCCAGAAACTTGGGAGTTAGGGGAGGTAAATTCTCACTGGTAGAATTATGGGTCATTTCTATATTCTTCACCATACTTTTTTTAATTTTTAATTTTCTGCAATAAATGTGTCACATAATCAGAGCTGAATACCATACTGATATATTCATACCTATATTAATATATAAATAATTAAAAGAAAAAAAGAAGAAACCCCAGCTGTCCCTCATGGCCTAGTGGTTAAAGTTCAGCACTCATTGCTTCAGTGGCCTGGGTTTGCCTGTGGGTCGCGGAACCACACCATCCATCTGTCATTTGCCATGCTGTGGTGGTGGCTCACTTAGAAGAACTAGAATGACTTACAACTAGGATATACAACTATGTACTGGGGTATTGGGGAGGAAAAAAAAGAAGACACTCTAAAATTACAGGTGTGCCAAGATCTAGAACCCAGAAACATCTTGCAGGGAAAACACTATTTCTTATGCATGAGGCCCAAGCCAGCAAGGCATCCTGGGACAGGCAGAGGGGGTCACTGTGACAGAAAATAATCACTGGACATTTGTTCTTTTTTTATGGTGTTTCTCATCTCTATCCTCAGTTAACTACATGTTTGCTTTTTCCAGATGAAACAAGTCCAATCTTTTGTAATATTTCACCTTGTTAATAAAACACAGGATAAGAGCACGCATATAGAAGAGGTTTCCACTCACTATTTCTTAGTTTCTGAAACCAGCCTGGATGGAATGATCACTTGTTCCAGGAACTTGGCATTGGAAGTGTCATTGATGAGAACGGCAGAAAGGCTGGACTGGGGCCTCTTGCAACACTCTTCTTCTTGTCTCAGGGGTAGGAAGACAAAATAAGTGTTTCCACTGGAGGTTGTGAAGGACTCCATGTTCTCACGGGAGACCTCCCCCAGATTCTCTTCCCGGGCTTAGGCCTGAGCAGAAAATAAGACTTTAGATTTGACATCATCAAACAGACCCGGGGATCCCAACCACAGGTTCCTTGACATCAAAGGTTGTAAACTTTTGGGTTGAATCTTGGCTATAACTGTTTTTTGCCCATATTGTGCTTTAAATTGGGACATTTTAAACTGGGATTTCTAGTTTCTCTTAAAAATCAGAAAATCTGGTAATTCTGAGCCTACATTCCCACATGGCATTGTTGGCTGGAGCTGAGTAACGGCTGCACAGTTTCCATGCACTGAATGTTGGTGTCTCTCCAAAATCCATATCCCCAATGTGTTGGTATTTAGAGGCGGGCATTTGCTAGGCAATTAGGTCATAAGGCAGAGCCCTTAGGAATGGGATTAGTGCTCTTACAAAAGGGACCCCAGAGAGCTCCCTTCCCCCTTCCATCCTGTGAGGACATAACAAGAAGACGGCCGTCTCTGAGCTAGGAAGTGGGCCCTCACCAGACGCCGAATCTGCTGGCACCCTGATCTCGGACTTCCAGCCTCCAGATCCGTGAGAAGTAAATTTCTGTTGTTTGTGAGCCACCCGGTCTGCGGCATTTTGTTGCAGCATCCCAAATGGACTAAGACAATCATCTGCACTGCTTGTCACAGTTTTACACTTGGTCCCCAGTCCTCTTTTCTATCACGTGCCTGTGGGCACTTGAGTTGGTGGCAGAGAAGTCTCCCATGTCAGTTCTTCCACAGAAATACAGGGAAAGGGACTTTTGCAATTCGTGAGTATAGAATTCAAGCTACTGTTCTGTGAGTTTGTGTTTTGAGGACAAGATTTATTAATGCATGAGTCACTTCCCTGCATTCTAAGCAGAGCTCATAAATGGATCTTTTGTGTCACACAACCCGAGAATGGGCAGAGAGAAGGAATGGATAGGCTGAGTTGATCCATACAATAAAGAGGAGCTGGGAAAGAGTGCAGACCAGGAAGGACGAGGAAGGCCACACAGCTGGGGGATGACTTCAGAGCAGGGCGCAGGATGGGATGTGGGGAGAGGAAGGTGAATCTTAAAAGCACTGCTATGAGAGAGGAACTGGATCCCTGCTGACGAGAATAGAAGATGTGCACACGTCTGTGACTCTTTACATGCAGCCCAGTGGGGACTGCAGCTTGTGTCAGGTTCACACAGTCAACACAGCACGCTTTCCCCGCACCCAGGGATGAACCCATTGCTGGCCTACCTCATCCACAGATAAACTCTTGTGCTCTTCTTTTTCCTCTGACTTGTCCTCTTCCTCATCCCCCACCCTCTCCTCCTCTACCATGTACATCCTCCTCCTCCTCCTCCTCCTCTTCTTGAACCATCCCATTTTCCATGTTCAGGGATGGTTTTAAGAAGCTGTCTCTTTCAAGCTGCATTTCTTCCAGTCCCAGAGGAGAGTCCTCTCTGGACTCATCCATCTCGGCGCTCAGGACAGAGTCTTCCTGCTGGCTCACTGCCACCTCTTCAGCTGTGGAGGACTCGACTTCTTGATCTTTTCTGTCTTCCGTCTCTTCTGCTGGCCTGGGGGAACTTGTCCCTCCACTGGCACTTTTCCCACTTTTGCTCATTTATACTTTAGCCCTTTGTTTTCTCCTTCTCTCTGGAAGCCCTTCTAATGTACTTCTGTTGATGACGAACCCCAAAGCACAAGGAAAAGCAGGTTAGCAATGGAGCCTGGACGGGGCCTCCCCAGCCCACCAGTGCACAAGAGTGAAATCAGGAAGAATCAGACTTGAATTGTGAAAGTCTTACCTGGTTCCCTGACCTTGAAGATGACTTCCCCATCCAAGTTCTACAAGGAAACACATGGACGCTGAGTGAGCAGTGCTGCCTTCCTGCAGAGCGCCGCTCCTAAGGACACCTCTTCTTTCAGGTAAAACGACCTGCCCCTCCCCTTCGACATCTTACGTGGGCCTTGATCTTTATTTCACTGGGGTGATCACTGTTCCCAATTCAGGGAATCAGTGTTCCTTAATCCCAAGAAGACTAGCAAACCCTTTCATCACATAGCAGACGTTGATAGAATAAGATCTCATTCTGGCACATTTTGGGTAGGGATGTGGGGCAAAGAGCAAGAAAGTATAATTTAAGGGATGCAAGCAAAGGAGCAGGAGTCTGCTGCACCCAGTGCTGGATGCGAACATACGGAATGAACACGATTTACGCGATCCAGAAGCCCCCTTGTTAACCCTACAAATTCCCTGTTTCACAGGCTCTGGGTGAAATTGTGGGTGTAGTGTGTCACGGATAACAGCATGGGCTGTGGAGTTTGCAGGTCTATGTTTGAATCCCAGCTCCTTACAAGCTGGCTGACCTTAGCCAAGTCCTTTTAATCTTGTGGGGCTCAGTGTCCTCCTTTGTGACAAGGAGATCATAACAACGTTGATCCTTTAACCCAGGCAACCAGACTGATCTCAAGGGGTAGATGGCAGCTCACTCTCCTACAGCCTGGGCTCCGCCTCCACCCAGGTGCCACGGGGAGCGTTTACTAGCCACTGGAACGGGGATCCCTGCCGAGAGGAGGGATTCTCTGAGGAGTCAGGTACCCCACATACACAGGAAACCCTCACCCAGGCTCCGCCTCCACCCAGGTGCCGCGGGGAGCGTTTACCAGCCACTGGAACAGGGATCCCTGCTGAGCGGAGGGATTCTATGAGGAGCCAGGGATCCCACATATGTGGGAAAGCCTCACCCAGGTTCAGTGTCACCCACAAGCATTTTCAGCTCTGCCCATGAGGACTCTGGTTGGGTGTGTGGGAAAGAGCCAAACTCTAGGAGAGTCAGACCAGGACACTCCAGGTATTCACGCATTTACCCAGGGAGCACTCACTGGGTCTGAATTTTGTGCAAGACACTGTGCGAAGGACAACTGAAGTTGAATAAAAGTTAGTAAGGCACACTTGACCTTCAGGAAACACCTTCCATGGGTGCTGTGAACTCCTGCATTTGACAGCAACCAACGTACAAGCTGGTTCAGAGAGGAGAGGTGACAGGGAACGTGAGAGGAGGGGTCAGGCTGAGAGGATGGGACACTTGTCACTGGTAGGGACTGGAAGTATGGGCGAGTCTGGGATGTGTGGAGACAGAAGGATCCCAGCAGAGGAGCAGGATGAGGAGGGGCAGGGGCAGGAGGCATATGCAGGAAGAGCGGGGAGTTTGCTGAAGCAGGAGAGTCAGGTGGGAACCAGAAGTGGGGACCTCTGGGGTCCTGGAGGGACTGTGGGTTGGACCTGGTAGGGGCTGCAGAGTCGGGGAGGGACTTTTGAGCAGGAGAGCGGCTAGGTCAGAGTTCTATTTGGGGTGTTATGTGGCAATGGTGGGTTGGATGAATGCAGCTCATTGTTATAACTCCATTCAAGTCTTGAGGCCTGAACTGAACCCTTCAACCTCTTTTCATCTGAGGAAGAGACAGCTTCCAGCTTCTCACTCCTCGATAGCCTGACGGATCCTAACTCCACAGGGTAGAGAAGGCATTCAACGTTGTGGCAGATCAGAACTAGACGTCTCCCTCTCCCCTTGCTTCTCGGTGGGTGGCTGGGTTTTGGGTTTCCCTCTCCATACCTGCTCAAAGATTTCACGAACATAGAAATGTTAGCTGAGGGTGGAGCTGTAGGAGTTGAGCTCTTTCAGTATGATCACCGCGTACTCCATCACTTCCTTTGTCAGGAGGACGTGAAAACATTCATACCTGGGAGGTAGGCAGGGGAGACCACTGTCTAAGGGGGCTCTGCTGAGCGTGGGAGACCCCAGGCAAGAGCCGCACCCCCAACCCAGCGGGGGTGGGCTGGAATCTGCATTTAGTTCTGCACCGAGCTGCTGTGTACATTTCTTTTTACAACAGTCCTTGGTTTGTTTTGCTATTTTTCTCATCATACAAAGAACACATACTCTTTGTAGAACATTTAGAAAACACACATGAGAGAATTTTCTGCTCGTTGTAACATGGGCTCCCATTTCCTGTCCACCGTCCTACCCTGTCCTTGGACTTTACCTCCATCACCCCATCAGACCCTCCGGTGCCCCAAGGCCCAGGCTTCTACCTGTGTCCTAGGTAAGAAGACCAAGGTGCAGGGGTTCCTTATTTGCCTCAAGTTATACTTTTGAATCTAAGCGCTGCAGTCAACCGGCAGTGCAATTCCATGTCTGCAAAAGGTCCTTACAGAATCAGTTGTATGAAGGCACAAAGATACAAGATAGTTCACAGAGAACTGTTTTTAATATGGAGAAATTGAAACCAATCTTAGAAAGCTAATCAATCAGGGGATGTTTCAGTCATTATGAAACATCCATATTAATGAATTCTACATGGTCATCTAAAAATGGAAATCTATCTGCCGTTATAGAACAATTTGCATAGTCTGATTCAAACTTTATTTAAAAAACACTATATATGTGTACACATCCACATATATAAATGTATATGTCCATAAAAAGGAAGAGTTGGGCAGGAATGAGGGAAAGTTTCTACATTGTGTTAACTTTTTTTTCTTTAACAAAGGGCATGTATGTTTTAAAATTTAAAAATGTGGAGGGAGGGCCCATGCTCTTGGCCTCTGAACTACATGGCCTTGAAACCTCCCTCGACGTACTTTTCAGATCAAAGTTCTCCCCAGAAGGTTCTATGCTGGCTGAGAGCAGAGCTGCAAAGGACCCAACGTCCTCCAAAGTTCGAGGCAACATTTGAATCTTGAGCTTGCTGGGCAACCCCTGGGCTGCTGAGCAGGCCGCCTCTGACCTTGAATATGGATTCCAGGCCATCCTTCTGTATTTTGGGGTCTGGTCTGCCTACCTGCATTTCATATTCTCCAGAAAATCTTTGGCCTTTTCCAGGTGAAGCTTCAGTGTTTCCTCATGGCTTTGCTGTCTCAGTTGGTCCAAGAGCTTGTCAAGGTGGGCCTCCTGGGCCTGGCAGTCCCCCACAACAGGAGGACGCAGACGTGAGTTACCAGAGCTGACAGGTGTTAAGTGACGCGCAGAGACCCTGCACCTGGAGCTGAGGTGCAGGTACCGGGCAAGCCCAGGACTCCCCTCTACCAAGGGCACCAAGTGTGCCACCCCCCTGACTCTCACTACTCCGGGCCTCCGGGCTCTTCTCTCTGCCTGCAATGTTGTTCTGTGTCTACTTTACATCTCCGGAGACCCGGCTCAGATGGGGCTCCTCAGGGACACATCCCTTACACCCACCCGCCCTGGGCAGGCCCTGCCACACCTTCCCATGGCACCTGCTCCTTGTCCTCCTTTGCACCAGTCACACTGAAATCAGATGCTGAGCTTGCCCCCTCCACTCCCTGGACTGTGTGGAGGCAGATGGGTGGGGGCCCAGCTCATCTCCTGTGGGGGCAGGGTGACTGCCAGAGGCAGATGCTCCAGAGCCCCGAGTCTGTCTGTCTCTCATGCACACTCTCTTACAGACAGACACGTTTGGATCCAGGGACACATCACACAGCCCAGGTCTGACTCAGGCAGATTTCTTCTACTCCCATCCAGCCCCGTGACCAACGTGAGCCTCAATTTCCCCACCTGTTCGAGTTTTACAGCTTGAGGTTTTACATTTGAGTCTAGGATACATTTGGGGTTAATTTTTGTTTATGGTGTGAAGTACTGATCAGAGTTCTTATTTATTTTGCATCTGAGTGCTGGCTGAGTTCACAGGCCACCAGGCAGAATCATTGGGCTGCTGACAGTCTGGCTGTGGCCCCTCCCTCATCCCCTGTGGGGGCTACCTGGGTGCTGGAGGCCACACCTGGTTCTCCAGGCTGTGCTTCTGCCGCTGCTGCTCCATCCTCTTCTCCAGCTCCAGCTCCTGCACCGACAGCACGCTCTGATGTGCCTCCCACAGCTGCACGGCCTCCTGGAAGTAGCTGAAGAGGTCTGCGCTCTGCTGCTCTGTCCGCTTAGCCAGGGCCTCGAAGCAGTTCTGCAGAGGCAGAACCCAGGGAACGGGCCTGAGAGCCGTCTGGCCCAGGGCGAAGAGGAGGGCCCCACTCACGGGGCTCCCTCGCCAGCCAGTGGCGGCCTCATGTCTCCAAGGACTGGCTGTCACTGCCTGGGCACCATCCCTCAAGATCATCTTCTCAGCCACACCTCAGCTCAGGGCCTTCTCACCTCCAGGACAGCCTTTCTAGTCTGCCCAGGGCCATGCCTTCAGTCTGGCTGACTCTGAAGTCGCATTTTGGGACCTGTCTCATATTCACTGGAGTCACTGAGAGGAGTGTGGGGCCTAGAAGAAAGAAGGACCAACCCTAGGCTTCAGCCTGGCACGCAGGTGGCCATACTATCTCGGCCTGGGGGATCTTTCCTTCTTTGGAGCTCCTGACGTTCAGCATCTGAGCCGAACACCACCCTCTGCTGTTAAATCCTCACCTCTCCCCTTTTATCTACGTGTTTTATGCTCTCATGGGGTCGGGGTTGGTGAACTTGGCCTGTGGGCTAAATGTGGCCCTCTGCCCTTTTTGGTTTGGCCCTGCCAACTGAGCACAGATTTTACATTTTTAAATGGCTAAAAAAAATCAAAAGGAGATGCAGTAGTCCCCCCTTATCCTCAGTTTCACTTTCTGCGTTTTCAGTCACCCACAGTCAACCATGGGCCAAAATTATTAAATGGAAAGTTCCAGAAATAAACTCATAAGTTTCAAACTGCGCACCATTGTGAGCAGCATGATGAAATCCCATGCCCTCCTGCTCCGTCCCTCCCGGGAAGACATCGTCCCTTGGTCCAGCGCAGCGGAGCCACGTGAATACGCTCCCCACCTCCCGCGGGTTAGTCACTCAGCAGCCATCTCTGTTATCAGATAGACTGTCGTGGTATCACAGTGCTTGTGTCAAGTCACCCTTGGTTTACTTAATAATGGCCCCAAAGTGCAAGAGGAGTGATGCTGGAAATTCAGATACGCCAAAGAGAAGCTGTAAAGTGCTTGCTTTGTGAAAAGGTGAAAATTCTCCACTTAATAAGAAAAGAAAAAAGTTGTATGTTGAGGTTGCTAAGATCTACGTACAATAGGAACGAATCTTCTACCCGTGAAATTATGAAGAAGGAAAAGGAAATCTCACTAGTTTTGCTGTCGCACCTCAAATGGCAAAATGTACACCCACCGTGCGTGGTCAGTGCTTACTACAGGAAAAACACGGTATAAAGAGAGGTCGGCACTACCTGCGGTTTCAGACATCCACCGGGGTCTTGGAATGTATACCCCACAGATAAGGAGGAACTACTGAAAATTATATGAAATTCAAATTTCAGTGTCCACAAATAAGGTTTTATTGAAACATAGCTACGCCATTCGTTTCTGCATTGCCTAGGGCTGCTTTGGTGTGACAACAGCTCAGTGAGAATTTGTGACAGAAACCTGACCGCCCACAGAGCCTGAAATATTTACTCTCTGGCCCTTTGCAGAAAACATTTGCTGACCTCTGTTCCAGATTCGAAGCATCTTGGGGCCAGGACTTATTGCTCCCTGTAGCTTCAGCGCCCGGACTCAACAAGGGCTCGGGGAGCACTCACCGCCCGAGACTGCTCACGTGGACTCCTGCTCAGCACCGGTGTCAGCGTGTGGCCGGGGAGTCAGGGCTGAGCCTGGAGTGCCTGGCACAGAGGGACTGCTCCAGAGGGGCTGGCCACGATGAGGGAGATGAACGCACTAGTGACAGGAAAGTTGGAGGCACCCAGACTCCTATTCTCCTCATAGCCCAGTGCCCGGGGGACGCCTGCCCTCCTCCCTAGCTGTGTGGGTCCCCGGCTACGCACATCCAGGCCTTCCAGCTCCTCCTCCACCTTGCTCTGGAGCGCTCCCACCATCTGCAAGAAGGACGGGCTCACCAGGCTCTCTGCCTCCTCCTCCGTGAAGGCTTTCCAGTCCAGTAGCTGCTTCTGGAGAGGGACAAGGCAGAGACTGGCTTAGGGCCGGTGGGGCTTCACCTCAGGGCCTGGTCCTTCCCCCTGAGATCTGCCTCCCACCCATCCCTGAGAGCCTCAGAGGAAACCCTCACAGCAGCTGAGAGGGTCCAGCTTTGTGGTTCGTCCACCGTGTCCAGGTGCTGTGTGCTGCCCCCGTGTCTCACTGAATCCCCCAGCAGTGTTCTCATTAGCCCCGTTTGACAAGTAAGGAAACCCAGGCTCAGAGAAGTGAAGGGACTTGCTGGAGGCCACACACCTGGCAAGTGATGGGGCCTGGATCTGAACTCAGAGGGCTCCCACTGCAGAGCCTACAGCATAAACCGCCATCCTAGACGGTCTCGGGGCTGCTGCCAGTCAGACAGGGCTCCCATTCCCTGTAACTGTGAGTTATGCCAACTGGAAAGCGGGCTCTCTTTATTAGGAAAGCCTTGGTTTATGCACCAACATCTCACATAAACCAACCTCCCCCAAATTAAAGACGTGTCTACAGCTGTGTACTTCCAGTGCTGCCCAACAGGAGGACCAGGTGCCCTGGGTCAGGCTTCCTGCGCCCTTGGGTACGGGACGACCTCAGCACCGTCCCCGCCTGTGCCCCACAAAGGGCAGTGAGGCCGCACAGGCGGCAGCACAGGGGGAGCCTGGGCAGCCGCAGGAGGGGCAGGGAGCCCGGGGCGGGGTCCTGGGGAGGCCCCTTGTGCGGAGGTTTCCCTCCCCTCCCTCCGGGCTCTGCCGCTGAGGTGTGACGCCCCCAAGAGCTCACCGAGAGGCTCAGGGCAAATGGCAGCCCCTGGCCTTCTGCAAAAGTGGTCTTCTCATCCCCAGGTAGGGCCAGCGCCCCACTCCGAGGACCTGGTAAGTCCCTGTGAGCGCAAGTCGGCGGACGGCACAGCCCTGGCCTGGCGCAGACTCTCTCATCACTGGCACCGTAGAGCCAGCGGAAGGCCCAGCGGGCCGCAGAGTCCCCTACTCCCGCTGCCACAGCCGCATGTCAGTCTGTCCATGAAAATAATCTGTAACCAATCTGCACATGAAAATTTGGGGTGAGTTTATTCTGACCCAAATGTGAGGACCATATAGTCCAGGGCTTTCCTTCTCTAAAGAAGAAAGGGCACCAAAGAAGTGGGCGCGTATGGAGTGGTTATATACCCTCAAAGAGGATGTTTCACATATGATTGAAATGTCCGTTTTACAAAAGTCACGAGACTGTGCAGTTGGCGAAGCGATTGATGGACACAGCAGGAAGCAGGTCTGTTGTCTGGAGCTGGGTGGTCACTGGTGAGCACAGCAATCAGTTCCTAGTCTAGGGAGAGATGCTTACCCTTAAGGAAATGCCAGTGTGAGGGAAGTTCACCTTTATCTTAAGGGCATTTGTTCTTGTCTTTGGGACATAGCAAACGCTTAAAGCAGATGTACAATGCATGCTCAATGGCCATGTCAGGCAGTTTTGGAAAAACAAGGTCAGGGCGAATTAGGTTTCCACCAAATGGCTTCCTCATATACTCTAATACATCCTATTGCTTGCCATTTATTTGTCATTTTCCCCTTTTGATCTATAATCTTTCCATAGAAAGCATTGATGATCAAAATATTGTCCCTTGGCACCAGGGTGGTTGCTGCCTGCCCTGGGTCCATCATGTCCCTCGGTGCTAGGCTTTTATCTCATTTATTTGCCTAGTTGTTCACCCTGGGGGGGAAATAGATATAGCACACAAGCATAGAGGTATATATATTAACAGGAAGCATTTATATAATTTTCAATTAATTTTAGATTGTTGTGCAAAAATTTTTATGTGCTTTTCTATGACTCCTTATGTTTACATTGTTCACACTTATAGAATAAGTACAGTAACAATGATAATAATTCAACATATTTGAAAACATTAGTTTGAAATAAGTTCTTAGGCATAGTCCATATCAGAAAGGTAAATTTGTCCAGGGTTATAAGATTGATTGACCATCTCGAGTCACCAAGCAACCATTACTCTAGTTTGTATGCCAGTCTTACAACACTAAGAAAACAGCAATTAGTTTGAATATTATGACTATTACAAGAATTCCAAGAGGTAATAGAAATAGGAATTGCAATCCAGATCGAAAAAGGAAACCAATACTGGAAGGGAGCCAACCAAACAAATCAATCTGGGTGTAGGGTTCTTTAAGGCATTCACTTGTTTTTTGTTTTGTTTTGTTTTGTTTTGTTTTTTTAATGCCTTAGCCGAGATGATGCATTGGAAGATTCATCATGTATAAAAAGTACAGCATTCAGTCTGAATAACTGCACATGTGTCACCTTGGGATGCTGTAAGGATGCCGTAAGAATATCTAAAGCCATTCTATTTGAAGGATAGCCTTTTTCATTAGAGACATTTCAGGATTTAATAAGGCTATTCCTGCTTGACTATCATTGAGGGCTTCTTGAGTAAATTTAGTCTGGGCTTCCATATGTTGTAATGACATCTTTTAGCCCCAAAGAAGGAGCAAATATAGCTGCTTGGTGGCCATACCAGTGGAACACTGAACGAGCCCATCTGGCCTTAAAAAGAAGGAGATTGGCAACAGGTGTTAGCTCAGTGAAAATCCCTCCCTGCTTTTAAAAGAAATTCAGGTTGCAGTGTTTTAGCCATCCAGGCACTAGCCAAGACCGAAGATTTGTTCCACATAACCACTGAGTTCCATTAGGAGCCACTCGATAAATGCCTGGCCTTCAAGACCGGTCTGTTCTAAACCAATCGCTTTCTTTAAGTATGATAGTATTCCAAAACCTTAAATGGAGCAATTATAAAATAGGCTCACAGTTTAAGCATAACAAAGGTTTAAATGAGGGCATAGAAGGTTGGGAATACAGGCGTGGTCCAGAGTCTTGGGACAGCTGTCTACAACAGATGCTGTCTTCTCCTCCTGGTATGGTCCTTTTCAACAGGCTGCAGAGTCTTTTATTTGATGCCTCTTCTGGTAAATAAATTCTCCAGGTTATAGTCCATGATCCTTAAGTTCTGGGAGCTCTCTGTGAAAAGAATCAGCTACCAAGCTTTCATTTCTTTTAAGCATCTCAATAAGACCCTGACAACAACGTAATATATCTCTTAAGCAAAGTTGGTTCACATATTTCCTCATCTAATTGCACAGGCCGTCCTATTATTATTTCAAAAGGAGACAGCTGATGTTTACCAAAAGTGTAGATCTAAGATTAAGGAGCAGTGGCAGAAGAGGTTTTGGCCATGAGAGAGTAAATGCTTCTGAAAGCTTTGCCAATTAGGTTTTGATTGTGCCGTTAATTCTTTCCACCAACCCTAAGGATTGGGAATGGTAAGCGCAGAGGAAATGCTGCATTATTGGCCAAATATTACAAATAGATTTAATTATTTGTCCAGTGAAATGAGTTTCCTGGTCACTGTGTAACTCGGTAGGAATTCCTCTAACAGGAACTATCCTTTTCAACAGTAATTTACCTAAAGCCGTTCCTCTTCTACAAGGAAGGGCCTCAACACAATGTGAGAATGAAAAAGCTCAATGCTCTTTTCTAATATGAAAAACGTAACACAATTTTAAAAAGTTTTATAACAATTTCAACAAATTGGTCTAATAACTCATCTATATTCTACTAAGGCAAACCTATGCTTATAAAATTGCCAGAAAGATTTACTTCATTCCAGCTATTTTAACTAAAAGATTGTGTCAAAAGTAAAAAAATTATTACGTATTCAAAGTTGCAGAGTAAAAGCCTCAGAAATGGCTAACACTAGTTTAAAGGATTATAATAAAACTTACCTGATGTTTACAAAAAAACTGACTTGGCTGGAAAAACAAAACTAATTAGACACATCTTTAATAAACTTTGAAAATATTTTATGAAAGACAATGTTTTCTATCTGGCAGCTGATAATAAGATAACCTAACCAATGTTGTTATCATCATTAATCAATGTAATATTTATTAAATTTCTGTAATTTACTGAGCTGTAGTAGTAACAATGAGTATGACCAAAGTGTAAATTCTGATGTCTTTCTCTCATCAACCTTACAAAAAGATCGTGAATAAAATGAAAATATGAAAATGCAAATATTTTGATCCCATTTTATTAATATTTACCTGTAAATGTCAATGGACGTCAACTCTTGGCTCCAACTTACTATATTTTTTTCTAAAATATTCCCTAAAAAATTACTAGAGTCAAAAATCCAGAACCAGTGAAAATTAAAACCAGATCAGTAAAAAAGTGTTGAATAAGATTTTATTGTGCATATAAGAACAGTCACATGCAAACTGGGAGATTTCAAATTCAAAACTGACATGGAGCTCAGAGGTGTTATGTTCAGGACAGCTTATACAGTGCAAATGAGGAAGTTGTTTAACCTGTACAGCGATTGTTATTACAATGAGGGTTTGCAAACAACAAGGTTAAAAGTGATTACCTTATATCATTTTTAGGATAATGACTTGAGTTTCTTTTATGATTATCAGAGGCATTTGAAAGAAATAACCAAGTTAAGTTGCACTCATATTCGTGAAATAAGCTGGATTTAGTTTTGCTTACGTGGCTCAAATGGTTTTTTGTCTGCTTTGTAGATTTCCAAATCTAGTCTCCATTTTATTCTACTTTAACACTAATAATTCATTACTACCTTTACATATGTAATGGAAAAGATATTCTTAGTATTTGCTACAAACAACCCATCAGATGCTCAAATTCTCTGTAACAAATTGAACTCTCACATTCAGATTTACTAAGACATGTTTTCTAATTGTAAAGATCAGTTAAATAATGAAAACATACTCTTCGGTTAGACTGTCAAAGGTAAAAATAAATCTATTATCATTAAATGTCAAAATGTATTATACGACCCATTAACAATTGGCTACAGACCTCACGTACTGTAATCGCCACGTAGAATCTAACCTTTTGAATTACAGAATCATTTTCTAATTTCCTTTTATGTGCTTATTATTTTAAATGCCAATAAAACTACTTGCTTTTAAAAATCTAATTAATTTGCTCATTTTTTCTCTATTAACAGAAACAGACCATTAGCTAAAGCGAAACTTGACAAAGAAAATAAAATGAACAACACAGATATAAATTGTGAGAAAATAATTCTTTTATCTAGAATATGTATAAATCTATGATATATGAACCCAGGATAAATTTTGCCTTAATTCTTCAATTTACAAATATAAATTCTACAGAGCTCCTAGCCCTGTCTGCCTCTTAAGTTTATTCAAAGGATATATTGAGAAGTATTAAACAGTCTAAAACATAACATATTGTTAGCAAATCAAAAATCCATTCCAACTTTCATCTGAAAGGCAAGCAAGTGAAAGCAAAGAGCAGAAGATGAGAGCAGAAGGAGCAGAAGATGACTGAACTGAAGTCTGAGATCACCCACTGAAAACAGCTTCAGAGGCCATCAGAGCCAACCAGGGGAGGAGAACACGTCACCCCAAACTGACAGCTGTGTAAAGTCAACAATGTAACAACTGGATCACTCCCACAGAAACTGAACTTGACTGATTGCGAGTTTTACAAAACACACTTGAGAAATGTTTGCTCTGCGTCTTGCCCCCTATTTTTTAGTGGAGCCACAGATTTCAGGTCTGTTGAAGGTTTCTTTTTTATTTCCGAGAAGGGACACTTCAACTTTCTCCCTAGTAGAACAGGAGTCCCTCCCAGCAACCTTCCCATCACTGAAGGCACCTAGAGCGACCGTGTGACACAGTTCTCATTGCACGTGGGGGTTTTCTTATTGATGGCATTGACAATCAGTTGATGAAAGAGTGCTCTTCAACACCTCAGCTCCTGAATGCAGTCTCCTATTTCTCTTTGCTTATTCATATGTTTGACAAATACAACCAGAGATTTCTGGTTTCGCTGGATAGAAAATTGAGCCTCTTTCAGCTTCACGCTGAAGTGCTCCCCATAAAAACAGGCTCAGAATTCCACAGAGAACTTGCAATTATCTTGGCAGACACTTGGGGACTGGCAACAATCTGCCCTACCCAGTCAGCATCTGGACAGCTCCTGCAGGAAGGCCCTGACAACCCAGTGGATGACAGCTCCCCACAACCCCCAGGGCCACATCAGGCCATGCTGTGTATGAACAAAGCAGGCTGAACTGTGTTTGACATCTGAGGGGTCTGCTGGGGGAATACTCATAGGCAGTGAGAGAAGCTGGAGGGTGTGCTTACAGGATCCCTGAGGCCTTTTTGCGCTCCCCCAGGGCCCGACCATCAAGAGAAGGTCTGGAGCCAGGGGTCATATGGGGCTGACTCCTGTGGCCCCCAAGCTGGGCGGCTCAGGGTAAGTCACTCACCCAGCTTCTCCAATAGTTTCCACACCTGTGTCCTGGGGACATGGTAATTCACTTGATTCATGTGAAATGCTCAGGACAGTGTCTGGCTATTTAGTAAAAGTGATCCCTCATTATTCCTTCAGTTCACTGTCAGTGAATTACTGTCACTGATGGTGCAAGTGAAACCCCACCAGGTGAGATGGATCCTCTGTGGACCTGAGAATTCAGCCTCTGTCTGTGATGGACTCAAGTGCTCCCGGCCCCAGTGTGCAGAGAAGTCTATATGCCCACAGGAAAGGCAAGTGGGAAGGAGAGGGTTCCCAGTGTGCATAAATTCAGATGCTTCCACAGGCTGTGGTGGGCCCTGAACTATAATGTCCTGGTGGGCTGAGGGCGACACAGCTTTTAGGTGGGGAGAGGCTTTTCCCGAACCAGAGTCAGTAGGTCTGTGGGTCTTACTCTCCAGAAGGGATCTCCAAACCTGCGGATGATTGCTCATCTTGTCAGAAACAAATGAAACCCTCACATGTATAGTAATTTATGTATATATTATGTAAACCAAGGAACAATATACAAAAGGAAATGCTGAGTATTAGCTACAGATAGAAAGCATCTGTTGCTAACCCCTCTGGCTGTGAACCTCAGTACAATAGGCCCTCAGGCCACAGTGCATTGTTCCTGGAATGTTCGTAAATCTATATTCAGAGGTCTTCTCTGCCATGTTTAATTTTTTGCTGGTCTTTGTTTGTCGTTGATTGACTTGAAGTGCTTGTACAGGAGCAGGCGTCCATGCCCTCTGCCCCTACCCCACGCTTGCGTTGTTGGCCTGTTCAATAGGCGCATCTCCACAAGAACCTTAAGCCCCTTGTCGACTCTGTGAGGGCCCTTTGGTTATAGCCAGATAATGTCATCTGTAAGTCCACATGGAGGGGCACCCTAGACTTGTCACCACATGCTGAAGGGGGATCGGAGGAAACCCCACTGCCAGCCCCTCTTGTGTTGGGGATGTTCCCTTCCCTCGGGACCCTCAGGAGCCACATGGAACTGGTCTGCCAAGGGCCACAGGAGGGGCCCACGGCCGCTCTGCCTGCTAATGCTGACGAAGGCCAATGATGCCTCCTCGATTTAATGCACAGAGATAAGTTCTAACACTCTCTGCCTCACCCCCCCCAATCAACTACTGCCAGTCCTAGGTCCAAGGGTGCCTCAAGGAACAATCTCAAGCTTTCTGTTTATTGGGCCAGTAAATGAACAAAACCCTTGGTGCTCCAAAAACTAAGTTTTGATGCTTTTTTTTGGAGGGTGGCCAAATAAAGACATAAAAATATTTAAAATAAGGGCAAAAATATAGCATATTAAACTGTCTTTATGACTTTGAGTTCTTAAAGAAAGTGAAAAATGCAAAATTAAAGGAGGGCATCATCTCAGAATTAAGGACAGGCCTTTTTAATTGAAGAAATTTGGTTTTGTGAGAAACCAATGACATCATCCTTCTTGTTCTCATTTTCTCTGTGGATGTGGACCCTTGCTGCCCTCAGACAGGCATTTCGGAACCGCCAGGTAGACAGAGTACACCAATGTGGTCAGGAGCCAGTGGTGAGTGCGCCCATGTCAGGCTCCTCACGCTCTCTTCCCTGATGCCCCTTTGGGATCTTCAGAAGACGTCTGACAGCTGATGGAGGAGTGGAGGACCCTGTGGGAATGAAACACCAGAGATCCATGGAACCTCCAGGCCTGAGAAGTGGGGATGGGAATGATCTGAGATCACCAGGGAAGCTGTAGGTAGAGCATTGGGCTGGAGGGATCTGGTGGTGGGTGGGGCAATATTCCTGGCTATAGAAGCAATTACCATTGATTGAGCATCACTGTGTGCCTGCACTGCCTTCTTTATTTCATACTGCAGCATTTTCCTTAAAGCATCCAAACATAATCTCTTTTAATTTTCTTGAAGTGAACCAGATCCAAAATAGACCATGAGGTCTACAGTAACATAGCCGAGGCATGGCAGTGACCAATGCTGTATTCACTGTTCAGAAACTCCTTCAATTAGCAGAAGACTGGGCTCTTTTGACATTTTTTTTGGGTTGCTAATGACAGAGGACTGAATTGTCCAGAACCATCTGAATACATCAATGATAAATAACAACAGATAAGGGCATATTCATTTGTACTTTTTGTACACTTGCACATAATGTACAATTCTGCAAAAGACCGCCTCCAGGGATGTAATTACCACTGGTGTTGGATGGCACTTCAAAGAATAGTAATTTCCTTTTCTTGCAAAGTCAGAGGAAATGGCATCAATCTCTCAAAAAAGTGAATCCTTGAGGCGTTATTATTAATTGATAAAAATTGTTCTAACATGGAAATATTACCCTAAATGTAGTTGAATTGGGGGTGTAGGAAAGATGTTGAGCCCAAGCCATACTCATTTCACTCTATGCTGACAAAAGTTCATGATTAAACTTAAAAGTTCTAGAAAAGGGTAAAATGGCACATGTCAGAAAGACCAGCATTTTCTCAGCGGCTGTTACCTGTTGCCTTTCTAAGTTTCATAGAAAAAGGAAGAGGACAGTATTCAAATCTTCATCAATATCTCATCAGTCTGGAAACGGATGATGTCCACAAGAGGTCGCTGAAGAGCCTTTAATGAGGGACTGCTTGCAGGGAGGGGGCAGGCAGGATTATGGGGACTGCTGAGGGATGTGGGCCTCGGGGACCAGCAACAGCAGGAAGACGGCTCCACCTCTAGGTCCGAGGGGGCCAGGGAGGGAATGTGATACTGGGGCTCAACAAGAGCTTGCTGTGGAAGAACCACTGCCCAACTGTAGCTGTGGCCAAAAAAGAATCCGGCCACTGCCAGGCCCGCATCCAAGAAAGGCAAAAGAGGACAGGGAGTAAGTGCCCTGGGCTCCCTCCACTCCTGCCTCCTCTTCCCAACAGCACTTCCCACTGGCTGAAGCTGCATGGTGACCAGAGGTCGTGGAGCCCAGGTGAAGGTCCACGGAGGTCAGCCCCCTGTGCTGGGAATGGACCGGGATGGCTGAGGGTGGAGGGCAGAGAATAGCCGGTCAAATGTTTCCTGGGGAAATATCACAGGAGCTGAATGTCATATGTGTTTGTACATTAACCTTACTGGTGACTTTGAAACGGTTGCTGTTTAACCAAGGAAACTGAGGTATCTATCAGTGAGGCAGGCACTCGACAGCTCTGATGGGGCCCCTCTGCTTAACACAAAGTCTTGCCAATTTTTCTCCATTTATAGTACCTTTCTGTGTTTAGAACATTACCAAGCTCAAATAATGGCTGAGAGTCAATGAGATGAAAACAAAATCACCAAGGACAAGAGGCAACATCTGATGTGGAGACATCAACAGTTTATGAAAATGAAATGTCATAAAAAGAAGCAAGAAAATTATGCATCAAAAGGAGCAGATTGTCTAGCAGATAAGGTAGATTAAAATGGAGAATAGTTTCTGAGCAAAGTCATTGATGAGAATTTTTAAAAAAGAAGGAAAAATGGAAGACAAAAACAGAGTCTTATTGACAAAGTCAATGGATATAGTGACTAGGACACAGCACGAAACGGCCTTCTAACATATGACAAAATTAAACGTTAGATCAATAAACTGCTTGTTATGGGTCGAATTGTGTCCTCCCCAAAAAGATGCTGAAATCCTAATCCAGTATCTGGGAATGTGACCTTATTTGGAAGCAGGATCTTTGCAGATGATCAAGTTAAGATAAGGTCATTAGGCTGGCCCTAATTCACTCTGTGCCCTTATAAAAAAGGGAAATTTGGACAAGGACTCACACACAGGGAGAATGCCACGTGAAGATGATGGCAGAGATCAGAGTGATGCATCGACAAGCCAAGGAACGCCGAAGATAGCCAGAAAGCCACCAGGAGCTAGGAGAGAGGCCCTCACAGATCCCAAGACGAGTGAACCCAGCCGACACCTTGATCCCAGACTTACAGCCTCCGGAACTGGGACACAAGTGATTTCTGTTGCTTAAGCCACCCAGCCTGTGGTACTTTGTTACAGCAGCCCCAGCAAATACTCTGTCTTTACTGAAAAAGAGCCATAGCCAGCAGGCTGAATAGCACTCATTAGCCACGGAATCACGGGAAGACCAGAAATACCCTTCCTGCCTTATGGTACCATGGAGCGGGCAAAGATGTAAGACATCCAGGAGAAAAGTGTCAATCAATAGTCAAATCATTGGTGAAAGCGGCATCTTTAGTTGTCAGCACACACCAGAATGAAGGATGATGTGTGAAGAACTAGTCAAGACAGAAGACTAACTGAATTTTGATGCTAAAATCAATCTCTTTGAATCTAGACAATGGTTTGAAATGAGTCTGCATTGTTCCATCTACTGAATACTGTCTGTGCCACCCAGTAATCTTTTGCAGTAGGTCAGTCATTATTTCACATACTCTGTGATCACTAACACAGGGTGGGGGGTAGGGGGTCCAGATAAATCTGTGAAGGTGAGGCTGGATGTCAGGAAGAGTCTCAGGGAAGGTGTGAAAATCTTGCAACTTACTCTCAGAGATCAGCCATGAAAAAGGAGAAATTATATTGGGGCAAGGGACTACCTTTACAGATGCATTAACAAACATGGGATGATGGGAAAGACCATGAATCAGAAACTTGAATAAAGTACTACCTGATAGTTTTGAAAGAAGATTCAGTTTTCAAGAACATGCCATTGGTTATTTGGATTACCATGTTTATATTATTTTTATTAGTGTAACACTTTCTTTTTCCTTTATAAGCATACGGATAATGTAGCCCTGGTAAAATACTTGCTGATTAAAGCTTTGTATTCAAATTCTGAGCAAACTGTATACAACGTCTTGATGCTGATTTTTTCCCGAGGCACAGAGTCCGTGGTGAAGCCTCAATTTATGTTAATAAAAATAATATAAAGCCCAAGATCCAAAGGAGCCAGGCCTTAAAACGAAGGTCATTAGAAAGTTGAGCTCCAAGGGAAGGTGGAGTCAGAGAACTAGCCTCAAGGCATGCCGCAGGCATGCTCCTTCAAGACTCTCATACTGACGTCCTCCTTCAAGACTATGCCACTGGCATGCTCCTCAAAGAACGTGCCACCAATGTGCTCCTTGCTGCAGACTTCTTGGGTGCACACAGGTCACTGTCCAGTTCCCAGAGGGAACACAAGATTGGTGACACATGAGCTCCTCAGGTGCCATGTGACCTCATATGGAGTGGACAGAGCAGCCAGGGGCAGCAGTAGCCCAGGATACGAAAAGTTAAGGACCCATGTAAGAGCCAGAGCAAGATATTTACTCCAACTGATGAGAGGGCTGACTACAGGAGGCCCAAACCAGGAGAGTCTGAAGAAAGGTTTGCAGGACTGAGGGCTTCCCAAGCCAGTGAGATGAGCCGCCCCTCCCGAGTCAGGGGAACAGGAGACACCACTGGGAGCAAATGCCTCCAGCTCCTGCTGGAGAAGGGACACTCCAGCCACTTCAGAAAAGAGATGCAGCACTTTCTGCAGCATCTTGACCCCAGTCAAAAAGACAAAAGACTAGAAGATCTCCCTCTAAAGGGCAAGCCTGCGTCAGCCACTGCCCAGAGCCCTGGACCAGTCACAAGCTCTGTTAAAGACGGCGGGGCCGGTGAAGCGCAGATGATTGCAACATCTGTTGGACAGATCCTGGCAGAGAAATTGAGGCAAAATAAAGTTTGCTCAGAATTTGAATACAAAGCTTTAACCAGCAAGTATTTTATATTATCCGTATGCTTATAAAGGAAAAAGAAAGTGTTATGCTAATAAAAATAATATCAAGGACAAACAGACTCTGTTGGTAGTGAGGGGCTTTTAGTGGACGCTGGATGCCCTGATCTCCTCAGATCCACATAAGTAGTCTGGGAGTTGGCCAGCACACTGGGTTCCAAGGTGGCTTCCCAAGCAGGGGCCTCCTCGGCCTCCACTGCCTCCCTGGCCTCTTCAACTCTTGAAGATTGGGACGCTAAGCTGAGCTCCAATATTGTTGCACTACGGCAGGGGCCTCATGAGGCCTGGCGCCCGCTCCCCTCCCTTGGCTCCCCCCTGGCCACTGCTGAACTTGGACTCGGCCCCAGCCTGCCTTTCTCGGCCCCCATCACAGGCTCGCTGTGCCGGTTTCTGCCCACAGAGCTGTATGTGAGAGACTGAGGAGGCGGCCTGCCCTCCTGTCCAGTAAGAGGGGCCTCTGAGGGCCCATCACCAGGTGGGGTCCCACCCAGGGCCTCCTGGATTTCTTCATGCACAGGGGACGGGGCAGAGAGGGGACTCGCCAGGGTGGGAACTGACTCTTCCATCAATTTCTCTCTTGGATGGGGCTGAAGAGATTTTCCCGAGAACGTGGTGAAGCTAGCTTTTGAGTGGGCCCCAGATGCACAGGCAGCTGACGGAGGGAAGGCCGACCGTGGAAGGGGCGAGGGTTGAACCTTTTTCAACTTAAGGAGTTTTATGGGCTTGAGGACCTTGAGGGGTAGACCCCACTTATGGAGCACTCGAAGCTTTGTAATATGTGCTTCCAGAACCTGTCGAGTGTGTGGACTGAGGACGGAATGCCCACAGGAGGTGTTCACACGGGGTTCCTGACCCTTCCAGGATGCTGGATTTCCGGTTTTCGTGTGAGTGTGGGACTTGGGAAATGCATAGCTGGCAGCAAGCCAGGATCGATGCACACTCACAGGGATCAAACCCTCCTTGATCTGTATCGACTTCCTGCCCAAATGGACTTCCAAGACTTTTTCTAGATGTTTCACTGGGAAGCTGGCTGAGCCCCTGGAGAGATCTTCCGGAATCCTCCTCAGACATTGCCCCAGACCCTTGCTAAAGTCCTTCCCTAGTTGTAACTTTACTTGACCCTTCCCATGGGACTTTCTAGGGCGCCTAGACCCCATTTTCTCTGTGTCCTTGCTGCCTTTGTCTGCAAATGCAGAGGGCCGTGAGGGCGCCTGCTTGTCCTGTGCCTGATAAGCCACTAGGAATTCTTCCTGAAGCCGCATCAGTTCCAGAGACACTTGGATCCCTTGGGGCAGGACACCGTGGTGTTGATCTTTGATGAGCCTCTTTTAAGATGTTGCTTTTGGAGATTAGAGCTGATAAAGTCCCCAGGAAGGGTGGAAACTGACTTGGGAGTGTGGGAGGCCCCACTGCGTTGGGGAAGATTGGGAATGAGTTGGCAAAAGACTTCTTCAGATCATTTTACCACAGAGGGTAAAGCCCTCTCCCTTTCCAGTTGCTTCTGCAACAGGGAAAATTCCAGATGTATTTTAGTTGGGATGAAAGATTGTGCCTCATTCTGGAATGCAGGGAAAGATACCCCACAGGTCCGCATCTGGGGTGGAGAAGAAGGTGGTTGGATTGGGAGAGAGGATGGGAGATGGTTCTGGCTCTGGATGTGAATCAGAGGTGGGGGCTGGAATTGGGGCAAGTTTGGAGTCAAAGGTTGGGGTTGGAACACAGGGCAGGGCAAGGGTGGGGCCTGGGAAAGCCTTGAAGATATCTTAGGCCGGATTGGAACTGGAAAGCAATGAGAGATGCCATTGAATGAAACAGAGGAAGCCTGTAGTTGAGAAGACCTCCTAGAGACCAAGACGGTAGCCACCAGAGACTCACTGTGCAGAGAGGGGAGACCCCAGTAGAGCTGGCTGCATTTCTGCTGTAAATGGTCCCCCAAGACCTTGGGATAGGACAGCTGCCGAGGACTGGGCAGCTGTTCTGGTTTGTCTTTCATGGTCCAGAAGGGGTGGGGGCTTGTGGTGTCCTGCTCGGTGCCCGGTGGTTTCCACATATTCCCTGAAGAGGTCAGGTGGAAGTCTGAGCTCATGTGTTTCGCAAATGCCCCATCGTTTTCTTTCTTATTCCAAATAACCAGTTCGACTCTTTTGGTGATCTGTATGTTCAGCATCTTCTGGACATCAGAGTTGACAAATGAGGGGCTCCCGGCGTCTACCTGCCTGTCGGTGAGGGCTCCCCAGAGTCAGTCCTCCAGCAGGTGGTGGGACAGGCGCTCTTGCTGGCACTCGGGCTGTGATGAGGTGGGGAAGAGCAAGGCCTGGATAACCTCCCACCACTGGGAGAGGAACAAAATGGGACAACTTGTGTGGACAAGGCCTGAGATGTGAGATGCCAAACCGGAGTTACCTGGAGGTGAGCTCTTGGCGACGGTGCCCAGTGGGATTCTTGGCAAGTCAGACTGGTCTTCCTGAGGTTCTGCTGACAGGGTGCAGGCCAGAGGTAGAGGGCGCTTGGTCAGAGGAGCCGGGGAAGCGGACAGGGACATGGCAGGAGCAGCATCTTCCATCTGCTCCCCACGTGGCTGGTGGGCTCCAGCAGACGCTGCTTTGCCCACCTTGCCAGGGGCGTCTTGACGTGAGAGCTGAGGAAAGCCACCCTTGTCATGGAGTCTGTCCAGGTGGCTGCAGGAAACAGGAGGCACAAGCTGCAGCCAGGACCAGACGGGCCAAGGAGGGCCAGGCACGTTGGGTGGGGGTGGGCACCTGTGGCCCATGGCCCTCCACAGCCCCCACACTGACCTCACAATGCTCCTGCTGTCCCTCACCCCAGGGCTTCAGCCACACCCCGTCCCCAGGGCTCCCCCTCCCAGGTCAGCCCCAGGCCGCTGGCACCGCGGGGTCATATCATAGGCTCTGGAAGGAAGGACGACCCCGGAGAGAAGGGGAAGATTCCTTACCTTTGCACCAGTAAAATGAGGCCCCGAGCCTCCTCTAGCTCTTTCAGGCAGTCTCTGCAAGCTAGAATTCAGGAGACTGGGTCAGGGTGGTGAAGCGGGGCCCTGGGGTCTCACAGGGGGCTGACTGCAAAGGCCCTTTAGGGAGATCGTGGGGAGGTGAGACTCTGGAGCCCAAGATCAGTGTCCAAGGCCGTGTGATCCCTGATGGGGACGGCCAGGCTCGTGCTCAGGAGCACTTTGTCATTTAGAAAGTGCTTCCACATCCATTGCCCCATACGGCCCTCACCACCGCCCAGTGGGGGAGAAAGGATAGGGGTCACCTCATGGAGGAATCTGAGCCCAGTTAAACAGCTTGTCCGTGCTCGGACCTGGAGGTCCCACTCCCAATCCAGCCACTATTGGTCCACTACAGCCCACAGGTCCCTGCTGGGCACCACCCATTTCTAGACCCCTCGTGGCTTCATTCCTAGCACAGAATCTGGGAAGTATCTGGGTTCTGATCTCCTTCCCAGGAGCCTCCTCGAGGGCTCTGTTTCCTGAGAGAAACGGGAAACTCCTACCACCGTCTTCCTCGGAGACCATGGAGCTAGGCCCTCAGGGACAGGAGAGATGGAGGCTGGCTCTCGGGGCGCAGGGCTGAGTGGCAGACGCTTACCTCTCAAAGCCCCACTTTTCTTCCTAGTCCTGCTGCTCCTCCCCCTCGGCTCCACTTGACGCTGAGGCACGAGAAAAGACGAGGGGCTGGGACCCAGTTCTCACTCTCCTCTCTCTAGACAAGCCGCAGACGCTCAGTGTTCATGAACAAAGTGACTTTCTACTCTTAACTGATGGAGCACTGCGTTTTTCCTTTCCTTTTACTCATTTTTAAAGTGGGTAGAAATATTCTGTTTCCCTTCTTTGAAGAACACAGAGAAGGTATTTCTATGTGAGACCCACCATGGATTTCTTCCGTCACTGTTCCTCTGCTAAAGAAACTCACATTCACCGACCTACGGGTACATATCTGAGCTTCATCAGGTAAGACTCTGCTTCCCGAGGCCGGAGCCCCACTCCAGCCCCTGCTCAGTCTCTCAGGGGCTCAGATCAGCCTGAGACACCTGCCGTGGGAAGGCAGCTGGTGAACCGGTGCTCAGGGGTCTGTCCTCCCACAGAGATTGGACTCTTAGTATCCAGTCCTCGGCCATTGGTCACTGAGTTTGGGACTTTGCCCTGGAGCCCTGTAGCACACCTGAACTCCTGGTCTGAGGTCTTTGGATGGAAACCCTAGTCCCCACTCTGACCCCTGCCCAGCCTGGCTTGTCCCTGGAAGGATGATGTTCTCTTCTTTCCTGAGAACAGATGTTCTATTCTTTCCCATCCCAGGAGTCTCTCCTATTGATCATAAAAGTGGAAATAAAAATAAAAAAGAAGAGAGAATCATATTCTGTTGGGTCTGGGCCAAGGCTTCCTTACCTTCCTGATGCTTCCATGTTTCCTCGCTGGTGGTAAGGATGGATCACTCTGCAGGTAGGCAAGTAACACGAAAAACCCCAGTCCACACAGGATGACGAGGATGGTATCAATCACCCAGGAAGTGGAACTGGAGCTCAGCCAGGTATCAATAATGCTTTTCAGAGAAAAGAGGGGATTCTGCATTGTCTGAATCACACTGCTGCCATCAGGCAACTGAGCACTGGGAGTGGCTTGGGGACTAGAGCCCCAGGCCCACATCACAGGGCTGTGCTCTGGTCACAAAGGGCTCTTGAGGGCGGAGACGGGGCAATAAGAGAGGAAGCTGGACCACAGTCCCTCCCCAAGCATCCAGCCCTTCAGATCCCTCCACCTTTCTCCGAGCCATGCAATAGCACCCTCTCACCCTGTTAGAGATAGGCCGTAGTGAATTTTCTATTCACTCCACCTGGAACTCAAATAATACCCGGTTCCTTTGAGATTTCTGCTTGAACTCTATCAATTTCATAGCTTCTAAAAATCTGGAGTTGTCCCTGGGATTTTGGTCAATTCCCAGGGATTTTTACTCTCATGATGCCCTCTCTCTGCAACTTCAACTTTCCCACATAATGTTTTTGCCTTGCATCAACTCAGACATAGAACTTAGATTTCTTTTATACTTAATCAGTTGTGTCAAGTTTTAAACATTTAAAAAAGTTTTCATTTCAATTAATCTCTATCCTCAGCTAGAGGGACTTAAAAAATTAAATTAAAAATTATTCAAAATTTACAAAGCTAAATAAGTATTAAAAAATTGAAATAATGAAACCTTCAAAGTATATTTTTCATAAGTTTCTAGCAGTTTTGCTTCTGAAATCAAAGGTTAAATTGCACAAAAGCTTTTGGAATATTGTACCCAGAGACACTCACAACCAGGCGCAGGCACGCACACACACACACACACACACACACACACACACACACCGTTTAACAAGTCAATTCAGCATTTTCAAATCTAAGAATCAAGCACTTCTTTCAGTTCAAAAGGCTTCCTTCAGTAATTCTTGTAAGTAGGACTGCTAGCAGCAAATTCTCTCAGTCTTTGCTTATCTGGGAATATCTTTATTTTGCCTCTACTCTTGAAGAATAGATTTGCTACACATGGAATCTTTGGTGACAGTTTTTTTTTCTTTCAGTTCTTCCAGTTTGTCAGTCCACAGCCTTTCCTCCATTGCTTCCTATCGGGAGTCAGCGGTTAATTTTATAGCGGTCCCCTTGTCTCTGAAGAGCAGTTTTTCTCTCACCACTTTCAAGAGTTTCCCTTTGTGTTTTCAAAGTTTGGCTATGATGTGTCTAAGAGTGGATCTGTTGGTTTTTATTTTACTAGAGGTAAACATTGAATCTGCAGCTTAATGTTATCCATCAAATTTAGTAAGTTTTCAGCAATTATTTCTACAAGTACTTTTTCTTCTTGCTTTCTCCTTTTTTTCTGAGACTCTCCACGTATATTGGTGTGCTTAACAGGTGTCTCACAGGTCATTTTTCTTCAAACTCTCTTCTCTGTTCTTCAGATTGCATAATTTCTATTATTCCATTTTAAAGTTTACCACTTCTTTCTTCTGCCATTTCAAATGTGTCATTAAACCCCTCTAATCAATTTTTCCTTTCAGTCATTGTAGTTTTCAATTCCAGAATTTCTATTTGGTTCCATTTTTATAATTTGTATTTCTTTATTGTGTTTCTCTTTGTTTAATTATTATCATCTTATTTTCATTTAATTCTTTAAACGTGGTTTCTTTTAGTTCTTTTTTTGTACTTATAGTTATTTTTATTACTTTTATCTTTTAACCTTCATACTGGGGTTATAAATGACTTACCCACCACCATTACAACATTAGAGTATGCTGAGTTTAACTATATACTGACCTGTACCAATGAGTTTTGTACTTTGATATGTTTTCCTGTTACTAATTAGCATCTTTTAATTTCAGTTTGAAGAACTCTCTTTAACGTTTCTTGTAAGGTTGGTCTAGTGGTAATGAAATCCTTCAGCTTTTGCTTGTCTGGAAAAGTCTTTATTGTTCCTTCAATTCTGGAGGACAACTTTGCTGGGTACAGAATTCTTGGTTGGTGGTATTTTTCTTTCAGTAATTTTAATATATCTTGCCAGTTTCTTCTGTGCTGCAAAGTTTCTGCTCAAAAATCTGCTGATAGTCTTATTGGTGGTGCCCTCGTATGTATTAAGTTACTTACTCTTGCTGCATTTGAGATTCTTTCTTGCCTTTAACTTGTTACAGTTCAAGTATAATAGGTCTTGGAGTTAGTCTCTTTGGACCCATCTTGTTGGGAACTTTTCAGGCTTCCTAAATCTGGAAGTCTGTTTCTTTCCCCAAGTTAGTGAAGTTTTCAACCATTATTTCTTTGAATAAGCTTTCTGCCCCTTTCTCTCTCTCTCTCTCTCTCTCTTCTCCTGCTGGGACCCCTGTAATGTGTATATTGGTCCACTTGATGGTGTCTCATAATGTCTTTAACTATCTTCACTCTTTTTCATTAATTTTTTAAAATTTTTCTCTGATTTGATGAACTTCACTGTTCTGTCTTTGAGTTTGTTGATTCTTCTACTTGCTCTAGTCTGCTGTTAAACACCTGTGTTGAGTTTTTAAATTGAATTATTGCATTCTTCAGGTCTGTGAGTTCTGTTTGGCACTTTTTTATATTTTCTATCTCTTCATTGAAATTCTTGCTTTGTTCATGCATTGTTCTTCTGACCTTGGTGAACATCTTTATAACCATTATTTTAAACCCTCTATCAGGTTAGTCACTTATCTCTGTTTCATTAAAGTCTGTTTCCGGAGTTTTATCTTACTCCTTTGTTTGGAACACAGCCCTTTGTTTCTTCATTTTCTTTGACTGTCTTTGTTAGTTTCTGCACATTAGGTAAAACAGCCACCTCTCCAAATCTTGAGGGTGGTCTCACATAGGAGATGAACCCCGTCAATCAGCCTGAGCTCTTGGTTGTCTCTCAAACTTTTGTGATTGTCCAAGTACTTTCTTTGTTCTTGGTGCCTCTCAGTAGTTGAGAGTGTGCAAAAACCCATCCGTGTCCCACAGGGAGGATCACAGTCAGCACCTAGATGCAGGCTGATCGGAAGCTGGACCCTCAGTCAGCAGGGGAGAAAGTAGGTAGGTAGGCCCCTTCCAGGGATAAACTGGGAGATGGGCATTTTTGCCTGTGCCTTCTGTGGTTGTAGAGCTGCAATGGGGGTGTCGCTCCTGCCACTATTAAGAACTACATCTATGTTTGCTATAGTTCTGTGGGACTCATGAATACAAACCGCATTGGCTGTCAGAGCCAGGTGATCCAGGGGCCCACCCTTGGTGACAGCCACAAAAGCAAGGGCACCAGATGCATGGGCAAGCTTCTTCTAGGGAGATACTAGCAACTTGGAGTGGGCTAGAGGAGGAGGGCAGGGGAGGTGTCCACAGGCTTCTCTGGTCTCTAGAGAGGATGTCAGCCAGCCCCTAGATACATGCTAAATTAGAAGCTTGACCCTTGGGCAGTGGCTTTTAAAGTATATGGACTCCTTCAGGGAAATACTAGGATGGGTGTTTCTCTTTGCCCCCTCTGCTCTGGACCCTGGGAGGATAACTGGGTAAGAACTGTTTCTTTGTTTGCTTTTGTTCTGTGGGATTGGTGAATGCAAGCCCTGTTGGCTATAGAGCCAAGTGATCTGGGCACCCATCCCTCAGGAAGCAGCCACTAAAGCTAGGGCACTGACATGTGTACAAGCTTCTTCCAGGGAGACACTGGTGATGTGGAGTGGGTTAGAGGGATAAGGTGGAGGAGGCCACCTTTAGTTCTTTAATCATACTTAAAATAGCTGCTTTGAAATCTTTATTTGCTAAATATAATATCTGGGGATACTTAAAGACAGTTTCTATTGACTGTTCTTTTCTACCTGAGTATAAGTCACACTTTATTTCTTTTCATGTCTTGTAACTTATTGAACACCTGACATTTTAGATGATATATTGTAGCAACTCTGGATTCTTATTTTTCCTTCCTGAGAGTTGTTGTTGTTATTATTGTTTTGTTTGTTTAGTAACTTTCCTGGACTAAATCTGTGAATTCTATCAGCAATGTGTGGCCATAGATGTCTCTGCTCAAGGTTTTTTCTTGCTTTTATTTTTATTCATAGCTTCTCAGGAGTCACTCCTTTTTCTGCATGCTTAGTATTCAGCCACGAGCTGTCTAAGGTTGTGCACACCTTGACAAACACCTTGAGCCAGTGAGGTGTTTGCTGATGGATCTGTGTGTGGGCTGGGTCATGCTTTCAAAATTCAGATCATTTTTGATACTTCTCTGGTGTTTACTTTCTGCCAGGTATCGTCACCTTCTGTGTCTCTTCTGCACATGGACTAATGATGAGTTCTATCTTTAGTCAGGGATGTGTAGGTGGTTTGGGCATGCTCTGGTCTCTGCTGAGGCTAGCAGAGCTGCTGGTCCATTCTATTTCTTTGCCATCAAATACCACACTGCTTTGACCAAAAATGCTCCAAATTATGTGAGTCCTTCTGATAGCGACAGCACAGCAACTGGTTTTCATTGCCTGCTCTACACTGGTTGAACTATCACAATGATAGAATTCGAGATTGGGGGATTGTTAGTAGCCCCTGGCAAGAATGCCACAGATTGAATTGTTCTTAGCTGCAGTTCAGCATTTTTCACGAATAATCACTTCTCAGTTTATCATTTTTTTGTCATTTATTAGAGGGCTGAAATTATTGTTATTGACAATTTTGTCAAGTTTTATAATTGCTCTTTGCAGAGAGGATTTTTTGAATTTTTTAATAAGTTTTTTTTATTGTAACATTGGTTTATACCACGTCTTCTTTATCCAATTGTCCTTTGATGGGCACCTAGGTTACTTCCAAGTCTTGGCTGCAATGAACATAGGAGTGCATATATCTTCACACATTTGTGTTTTCATGTTCTTTGGATAGATATCTAACAGTGGAATAGCTGGATCATATGGTAGTTCTATGAATTTTTAGAGGAATCTCCATGCTGTTTTCCATAGTGGCTGCACCAGTTTGCCCTCCCACCAGCAGTGTATGAGAGTTCTTTTCTCCACATCCTCTCCAATACTTGTTATTTCCTGTCTTATTAATTATAGCCACTCTGACAGGCATGAAGTGATAGCTCATTGTCGTTTTGATTTACGTTTCCCTGATAATTAGTGAGCTGAACATCTT